TTCACCCAAGTAGCAATTTTCTTGAATATTATATAGTACGGCTTTCTTATTTAAATTTTATCTCTAACCATGTAAATGGAATGTATTGCCTAATACAAAGTAAACATTTTTTTGAGCTAACAAATATGTATTTGCCAATAAACTAATAAAAGACTAGTCTCTCATTTGCCAATTGACATAGATACATATATACCCTCACTCTGATATGCAATAATTTATTTATTGGTCAGTTAGGAAAGATACAATCCCCAAATGAAGATGACTCACATGCAAAGGAAATTTTTCTGCTTGTAACATTCATTTATTAACTGGCCTGTTGGGTTGGTTTTCTGGAGTCTTTCTAGAATTTTCTAGGAGATTTTGCCTCCTTCTCATCTACAAAACCAAGACCACCTGTATTCTATCTGCAGTCATCCCCACCTGGTCTATCTCCCTGTTGCCCGTCTAGCTCTGAGCTTATTTCCCAATGTCAATATCAATGTTCTTGTGTTGTTTCAAAGACCCAGCTTCTATCTAGAACCACATTTCAGATAATCAGTGTCATTTCTTTTCCTCTGTGTCTGGGTCCTTGTCAGTAAAGCCCCAGCTGATTGGGAGGGGGAGTCTGAGAGAGTACAATCCAGCTGTACCCATTGTCATATCTTAATCTTATGGTGGCCAGGTTTTTCTGTAGGAAGTGTATTTTAGAGTAACCAAATAGTTCTGGTTGATGAAAAAATTTCTCTTTTACAGAAGAATGTTGGCTAAGAATTGTACAAGGAATGGCAAAACTAGAAAATCACCACTTTTCCATCCTTAATGAAATCACCGTTTCAAGCAAGAATCATCAACAGTTGCTACCACCGTTAAGTGAAAAATTGATGAGGAATAGGAATACTGACGTGGTACCCACAGGACACTTGCTGACTGCAAGTAGAAAAATATAACTTTAAAAATGAAGGCTTAAGCTCTCACCTTTTATTTGGTAATCGATCTTAGTATTGAATACTAGGAAACCAGCTTAGGTGGTTATTGTTGTGGTACAATGTGAACTACATTGCCTTGCCTGTGAAGTATTCTAACAAAAATGTTTAACTTGCATCTAATCAAACCTTCGAAGCTAACATTCACTTTATAGGAAATTCAGGGGATAAAGTAAAAATTAAATGACATCATGCAGAAATCAGACAAACTCAAAGTGGAACATTCTACAGGACATGTCTTTTCAATGAGTCAATGTCGTAAAAAAAAAAAGCACGTGTTTGGGTTCTCCTCCGGACTAAAAGAGATTCAAGAGACAATAATAACCACTGCAATGTGTGATTCTTTAGTGGATCGCAGCTTGAATAGCTGTAGAAAACATTTTTGAGAAGGGGCATTTGTCTTAATTCAGGCTGGTATAACAAAGTACTATTGACTTTGGTATATAAACCAGTGGCTTATGAACAACAGAAATTTATTACAACAATAAAAGAAATGAAATTTATAAACAGTGGAAATTTGTAAGTTTATAGATAGAAATTTAGAAATTGATATACAAATTTCTCTAGATGTTCGAGATCAAGGTGCCAGCATGGTTGGATTCTGGTGAGAACCCTTTTTTCCACATTTCATTGTATTCTCACATGGCCAAGAGTGTAGAGAGAAAACAAGCTCTTTTGTGACTCTTATAAGGGCCCTAATCCCATTCAGGAGGGCTCCAGCCTCTTGACCTCATCTCATCCTAATTATCTCCCAAAGGCCCCACCTTCTAATACAATCACAGTGGGGGATAGGGTTTCAACATACGAACTTGGGGTGGGGGGTGGACACAAACATTCAGTCCATAACAGTATCACATGATATCAGCAAGCTATTTTCAGTTTTGTTAGATGTAAAATTTACGGTTATGTAGGAACTTGTCCTTCTTTCCCAAATACAATATATTTAGGGATGAAATATCATGAGGCAATTTCCTGTAAAATACTTTAGGACAAGGATAAAGAAAATATGGCAAAAGATTGACAGTGGTTATAAATTTAGGTTTTGGTTACATAAGTGGGAATTACATGCATCTTTTTACATTTTTGTTTCTTTGGTTTTCCAAGTGTGGAACTTACTAGAAATTCAGATTCTAGGGCTGCACTCTGGACCTACTGAATCAGAAACGCTGCTGGGGAGACGGCAGCAGTGATTTTCACAGGCCTTCCAGGATATTCTGGAAGTAAAGTTTGAGAACCAGTGCCTTAGGGCATGGTACGGGTAGGTAGGAATGGATGGTAGGAAAAGGATCCATTTGGCACTGTGATGGAATTACTGAGATGAAATATAATATCAAAAATGAGTCCATGCGATGTAGACAGGAGAGTGGGAAGTGAAGGTAAGAAGCCAGGTATCCTCCAGGTCTGAGAGGCATCACTGCAGCATGATGGAGGGCACCTGCTCAGGGCCCAGACTAGACGTCACAGACCACATGGCCTGGTGGTGTCTCTTCTTCATCGGGGGTGTCTGGCTCTGCCATAGCACCTTCCATGGGTGCTCTCATTCTTCCAAGATAGGTCCCTTCTTAGAGATTTGGGGCCTGCTCCTAAGACTGTTATTAAGTGCTGACAGAAGGTGCTGTGTGGAATGACTCTCACCTCCCCTGACATGCCTTGCTCTGCAGGCTGGACTGGCCACACAGTCCCATTCTCCCCCTCCAACCTCCCATCTTAGAGCAAGAAGAGAGCCATCATTCCTGCCTGGTCCATTTCATCCTACTTCGGTTAACTAAACAATCTCAGACTTGTCCCAGGCTTACCTAATGAATATTAGCTCATACGTGGGCGCAGATTATAATGCTCCTCTGAAAAAGAGCTTCATATATAAAATGACGCTAACAAGCCTTCTTTTCACTTACACCAACTATTTTACATAGCATTCTCTAGAACGGTATTTCCCAAAACATGTTTTTAAGAGATAATGCATATGAAAATTGTCTGTGGCTCAATAAATCTGGAAAATACTAGGCTAACCATGTTTAATCAATTTCATTTCATGCAGAATTTCTCCATTAAGAGTCATTGTGAATTTCCACATGGGGCAATTATAGAACAAATCCTCCCAAGTATCCTTGCCTGTCGAATGCATGTACAGATGATGGCTCAGAGACATGTTTTAGGAACTCTTTCTTTAAAGCTTAATGGGTAAAATCTTGTGGAAAAACTGTATCTATGCATTAAGGAAGCAGTGATAAGAGGCCTTTTTTTTGATGTGGTAGGAATGATATTGTTTCCAGAGTTTTAAAAACAAGCATAAAATGGTTTAAAATAATGGCAAATCCTTTCGATATGAGCCTTAAAGACCCAAATTTTCAAAATAACTTACCTTTGCAGAATTAATGAATGAAAAGCTGTCAGAGATGAAGCCACCGCTGTGACCAACTCAAGGAAATAACATGAACATTGGGTCCAGGCATCATGCAATGCAGGGGCCCTGCGAACAAGAGCTCTGCGCCTGGCCAGCAGGGGTCGGGGGAGCTGATCCCCAACTTATGGCCGGATAGATGATTCCGTCTGTTTTCAAATCCTGGGCCTTACTTTGTTTGTGCTTAGGGAAAAATAGGTACAGCTTTGAAGTTTTGGCCTTCGACATAACAGTATACCTTATTCTAGAATAAGGTGAGACTCATATGCTGCTTGGATAATGTTAATTTAAACATTAATTTTACCCCTTTTTAATTTTCTTTTTCCAGAAGAGTCAAGTGAAAAAAGCTTTGAGCGTTATCATTTCTTGAGGCTGGAGAAGAGGCGGAATGAACCCTGCGTTGTAAGTCTTAACAATAAAGCAATCATTTCTCTCATAACTTTTGAATAATTTAGGCTCTTTTTACCAGACAAGAGTTTGATTGCATTGCTAGGTTTCCTGACTTAAGGAGCAAGGTAGCAATAGTAAAATTGGGCGAGGAAAGCTCAGGGCTGGATGATAAAGGCCAGGTTATGTATGAAATTAGCACTGAAGGTGCTATCAGGCTAATCCTATGGGGGTGAAGAGGCTCAGGGGGGGTTAGCCACCCTAAGTGACTTAGATCAAGTTATGAGAGAAGTCTAGAGACATTTTCTAAAGAAAAGTGATCAAATACAGCTCAATTTTAATATAAATTATGTTTTTGTGAGTACACAACATGAATTATGTTCTTGAACATTTATCTGGAAGTAAATATACTTGGACACCTTCCTTGCCAAGCACTGTGCTGAGACATTGGTAATTCAACAGTGAACAACACTTATGGAGCTTACTTCCTAGTGGGAGGGGCTAAAAGGCAACTACTGGAGCCACGAATGAGGGTGATAAGCAATACAAGGAAAGAATGCGTGCTGTGATAGATCATAACAGTACTTGTAGCTGAAATGATCCTAAAAGGCCTTTTAGGAAGGGACTTGAAAAGTGGGGATGGAAGGATGAAAAGTTAGATATCCAAAGAAACAGGGAGTAGGGGATGTGGAACATTCTAGGCAAAGGGAATAGCAAGCACAAAGACCCGAGTTATGAAAGGGGTTGGCAGGTTGTGTATGAACAGAAAGAAGCCCAGTGTGGCCGAAAGCATAAAGATCAATGAAGAGAGTTCCAGAAGACGACATTGCAGGGGCAGGCAGAAGCCTGACCATGTAGGACAGCAGGAGACCCCATACAGATTTTGCTTGGGGGTAGTGAATTTTGGACTTTTGAGCTCCAGAACTGCTAAGAGGATAAATATGTGTTAAGTCACCAAGTTTGTAGTAATCGTTACAGCAGCCCTAGGACATTAATACACCTGTGCAGGAAAAGACTGTCCCTGTCTGAGTCTACCTGCACCCCTCCCCATCTGAAAGAAACAGGATCATTAAGTGATTGGTGCAATTCAATCCCTAATATAAGATAGTGGATTCCTCATTCAGTGTCTGGTCCTCAGTACTCTATCTCTAAGAACTCATTTTCCTTGCCTCATCTGGCGTGATCAGATTAAAGAGGAATAATACTCACGAGCCTAACTCATAAATCACACCACTGATTTATTGGTTTATTCATGAAAATATAAATACTAGAGTCTGCTTACTCAGATCAGCCCCTAAGCACTGCTTTGTCTTGCTTGGGAAGCGTAAAGTCAGAATGAGGCAACGGGTTTATCTTGAGGGCTGATGTTACCAAATCTCATAGCCTGGTGCATTCACCTCCTACCTGGGATTAGAACATTGACATTAGTTAGACAGGTGCTCTCTCTCCTGACTTTGCTGGGACGTTCTGGCAAATTCTGCCTTGCAGGTACCACCTTTCTTGAGTCCTTGATGGTTGTCATCCAGCTGTTTCAGCAATATTCCTTTAGATATGCTACAATGACTCAACGTCCATGTATATATAGTATCTCCTCAGATACTTGGGTCACAATGTCACCAAGAACTCTTCATTCACTCAGATTCATTCAAGAAACATTATTCAGTACTAAATGCTATACATTGCAGTAGGATATGAGACACAAAGTTAAGTAAGACGGTCTTATTCTTCACAAATTTTATGGCTTTTTAGTAGATTAAAAGCTGCTGTGTATTTCTCCGATAGAGAGCTGATCTCATCTATTTTTTTGTGATTTCATGACTTTCATTTTTTTACAGGATAACATTTCCTGACACTTACTGTCAACTTCAGGAATGGTCCAGTTGAGGACTTACAAACCAGTTAAATCAATCCAATGAAATAATCTACCATTCAGACGTTAGTCAGGTCCTGTTTTGACAATTTTATACAAGTATTAACATTTCACGAGTCTAGGGTGATAAAGACCCTAGCATATAAAGTCTTCCTGATGTTCACATTTCCATAAAACAGCAAAGAGATGGTCATGGCCGTCTGTCAGAGCTGTGCCCTGGGTGGTCCCTTCTGACCAGTAGTTTCATTCTGTAATGGTGATAGACACCATCATTGAGTGCAACTTACTTTTTTCTAATTTTCTCAAGTACAAAACTCAAGACTATTCCAAGAAATCACAAAATCACAAGCATGCCGTGCACTCTACATACATTGTGCATCTAACCAGTGAGCTTCTGGAGTTACGGAGCTATAGATAGCTGTTTTCACCACCATTTTCATAGAAAGACCATGTTTGGTAAACGCTCCTTCTTGGTGTGACATTGCTGTGGTAGCCATCAGTCCCCCTGGTTTGAAAGTTCATGTTAGTCAGAAACTAGGAAAACTAGGAAAGACTAGTGGAAGAGGGATTTTTGTGTGTGACCTAGGACAAGTCACTCACCTCTCTTAGCTTGTTTCCTTGTTTGTGTCGGTTAAATATTATTTATTTAGCTTTCCCAGTTTTAAAATTCGATGACTCTTTGAGAATCTCTGGAAAATATGATCACAAAAAGTTAAAGCTCTTCTGTTTATTGGTAAGGACTCAGGTCCATCTTATGGAGAACTTCAGAACGATGTTAGCCAAATTCCACTTCGAGTAGTTTATCAAGTAGATGCCATAAACGGTCAGCAGATACTGTCCTTGTTTTGTCTTCTTAATGGAAGGGAGAGGCACCATTAAATAGACACACCCAAACCCCACAACTACTTTCCTGAAACAACTTCTTTATTTCCATTTTCTGTTTACAAAAAAGACAGGATAGGGGGTGGGGAGGCGGGAAAAATGCTTGGTCACCCCCAGAGAATAGAGGAAGAGGCCAGAGCCGACAAAAATGGAGGGGACTGCCCTTCCCTGCCATTATCGGTGACAGCAGTGACCGAAAAGAAGTCCGAGCACGATCAAAGGCTTAAGTTAACAAGGCCAGTCGGTTTCGGGAGAGTCAGAGGATCCGTCCAGTCCACGAACAGGAGGGGGGTCTATTGAGGCCTTGGCTGTGGGCGGGAATGGGCCGGTCTCCTGGGAGATCTCGGCCGCCGGCCCCAGGGCCCGTAGGGGCCGCGAGGCGAGTGCCGGGGGAAACCCCTATGGACCACCGGGGCTCGCCGCAGATGGGGCATGGCGAAAGGGAGCACGGATGGCTGAGGGTCCATCATAAAGTCATCTTCAAGGGCAGATCCTGTCTGGGCGGGGGGGGGGACATCTGAATGGAAATAGTTGGAGGAGAACTGATCCGACTGGGAAGGCTGGTCTGAGGAAAAATACGCATCTTGGGGACAGAACAGGACCCGCGGCATCACCTGCTGAAAAGGAAAGGGACGAGGCTGTGCGGGCAAGGGCAGGCGGGGAGGCGGGGGCGGGGGCAGAGGGGGACTCGGGAGGAGGGGGCTGCCCCTGCGAGGCGGCCAGGCCCGCGCGTCTCTGCTGGGCTGCCGCGGCCTCTCACCCGCCGCGCCGGGTCCTTCCCTGATCCACGTGGCCACGCGGGCGCGCCGCGGCAGCTCCACGCCCCAGGCGTCCGCCACGTGCGCCAGCAGCAGCTGCGAGAGGTGGCGGTGCGCGCGCTCGTCCCAGTGCACGCCGTCGCGCTGCAGGTGCTGCTCCGCGTGGCGGAAGTGGAAGTGCAAGTCCAGCACGTCGAAGCCGTGTTTCTTGGCCTCGGTAGAGCTGTAGAAGTTGGCTTCGATGACTCGGCCTCTCAGGGAGTCATCCCCGGGCTGCTGCTTGTGCTGCAGGAAGCCCGCGGTGATCTGCTTGCCCACGGGCATGGCCGTGTTCCACACCAGGAGGCACGACTCGGGCAGCACCTGGCCCAGGAGCCCGAACACGCTCTCCAGGTTCTTCAGGTAGCTCTGCCAGGAGCCCGGGCCGTACCTGGAGAGGTCCCAGAGGCAGGAGTTCATGATGATCACATCCGGGAGGCCGTGCTCGCTGGCCTGCAGCTCTTGCAGGATGGCCTCCAGGTAGGGGGAGTACACGCGCGTGAGGAAGTAGAAGCGCACCAGGTGGTGGTCGTCGCAGAACTGGCGGACCTCCCGGTACTGGATGCCATTGTGCATGGGGCCCATCTGGCCTCCGTCCACCAGCTCGTCCTTTTCGAAGGTCTCCTCCCCCTTGGCCTTGAGCTGGGTGGTAGTGAGCAGGCAGTCCTTCTGCAGCAGGAGCACCAGGTCCTTGTACACGGCCCTCTGGACCGAGTCTCCCAGGATGACCACGAACTTGTTGTGGAGCAGCTGCTGCACTTCAGAGGCCTGCAGGTGGACCATGACGCCCAGGGCGCGCGGCCTAGGTCTTTCCTTTACGTGCGGCAGGTCTTCAGATTGCTAGGACAGAAGGAGAGAGTGGCTGGGAGCGACCCCTCCCCGCCCTCCCCGGAAGGCTCTCGGTGTGGGCAAGCCTCGGGGAAGGGGACGGAGGGTTGGCCTGGGAAGTCCACGCCCTTAAGCCTGGGAGTGGGAAGAGAGCAAGAAGGGAGTCGGAGGAGGCATAAGCCCTGCTTGGCTGGGCCTCACCTTGACCTGTGAACCCCTGCCCCGTGGCTCTTGGGAGGCCCAAGTTCCACCAGGTCAGAAGCGGCCAACCCCACAGGCCCTCCCCTGGCTGGAGGAGAAACTGGCCCTGGGAAGGCAGCTCAGGTGTCTGACCCTGGAGAACGGGGAGGCAGACTTTGCAGCTGCTTAACAATGAGGACTGTGAATGAGCAAGAACGCCCAGAATGCTGCGATATGTTAAACTGAAGAAGTTACATGTCACATGTGAGCCCTATGTCGCTGAAACTATAGGAAATAGATAACACGGAAAGAAAATATGCAAAAACATAGCTTTTAAGAGACATGTAGGATTATGGATGGCTTGCATTCCCTCCTTTTTTGTAAATATACTTTGTATAATTGTATGTTTCTTTTAATAAAAAGAATTCAGTGAAATGTAACAAACAACAGAGGAAAAGTATGGGGTGCCTGGGTGGCTCAGTCACCAGTTAAGCATCTGCCTTCAACTCGGGTCATGAACAGGACTTGTAAAAAAGGGCAGTAACACTGGAAATAATTCACATGTTACAGCTATAATATTCTTTGCTTTCCATAGGAAGACGATCAGAATATGCCATCCCCAAATATGCCATTTTGGCATAAGGATTATTTTGAGCTGAAGGCAACCAAGAATCAACAGACACAGGAAGAGTTCCCGGCCTAAAAGCAGTGTATAAATTTCCTTTTGAGGCAGGTGCTCCTTCCCCCACCAGGAAGAGAAGAGTCAAGGAAGAAGATAGGGAACTGTCAACACCAAGATGAGTTTTCATAAACTGACTTTACAAAAAAATAGCCCCGATTTTCCATTAGTACCTTCATATATTTCTGAGTTGTCCCCACATTTCATCATCCCATGAAACCCAAACCCCTTTTCCTTTATTAAAATTATATATAAGCCCCTGAATCTGCTTTTTTGAGTTTCTATTCTGTGAACTCCTGTGCACATAAATATTAATAAAAATTGTATGCTATTTCTCCTTTAACCTGTCTTTGTTTAATTCACAGGGCGCCGACACTGAACATAACAGGGTAGAGGAAAAGTTTTTCCTCCTGAGCACATTGCATAAAACGTTAAGAGTTGTGAAACTCATCTTCAAAACTTCAGTTTATTTTCAAGCTGTCATTTACAACCATATCCATTAATGAATAAAAGGTAACAACACACTTCAATATTACCAACAGATTTCAGATGGGGAGGAACATGGCATCCACTTCATACACTTAAACAGAAGCCAACAAAATCCATTGTGGCTTGATATTCGTAGGCTTTTATGCATCAGTAAGCATTTTAATAGGGGTGGGTGGATAGCTACTATTAAATTACACAGTTTTTAAAAGCTATACTATTTGTGGTTTTAAATGGGTACAAGCACAAAAATAAAAACATGAAAATGGGTAGTCTGTAAGAGTTGCCCTAAGAGAACAGTTGAAAATATTGGTTTATTTTTCCCCAAAGAATCTTCATTTACATGATTTTGTTATCAGAAAGAAAAAGGATAGAGCTCATTGTGGTACAACAAAATAAAACCTTAAGCAAACTCCAGATCCCTTTGGGGCTCAGGCACGTTCCTTTGTTTGCAATCATTTCTCACACTTTAAGTGTCTACTCAGTGCTCCACAGAAGGGATATAAAAATGAGTAAAACCTGGTCATGCCCTTCAGGAGCAGAAAGAGTGCTAAGTGCCATGAACATAGAAGGAACAGGTGCTGCGGACTTGCAGGGTCTTTGTGAACAAACAGTACCCCCCTGCCCTAGACCCCAGGCTCCAAAGTACAAAGTGAAGGGGGAAACCTCCTCCCAGAGTTTCTCATGACGCTCTCTCTGGGCTGGCACTCTGCTCCCATAGTGGGTCTCGTCCCGTATAGGATATTGAACACCATCCCCTTCCATTAGAGTTCTCTCCCTGCGGTGGGTGGGCAGATCTGATAACCTGGTGGCTTTCCAGGCAGGGTACTTTGTTTGCTGGGCCCAGTGCGTTCCTTGTCTGGGTGTGAAGTGCTCTAGACTGGGACTCACAAGTGGGAGTCCAATCCACTACTTAAAAGCTGTGGGAGATAGAGGCACTGAAGTATACCCTTGAAGAGCACTGCTTTTGGAGCAACGGTACTTGGGTGTGAATCCCAACTATTCTATTTGCCACTTACTTAGCCTTTCTCTGCCTCAATTTCCCTCATCTGTAAAATGGGACTTTGAGTGCCCACTTCACAGATTTCACGTGAGGACTAAATGTAAAATGGTTAGAACAATGCCTGGCAAGTAATAAGCATGGATAAGGGTTAGTTATTCTAATTACTGAGCAAGTTTCAAAACACCGGGTTAATCATCTATAAAAGGAGGAGGAGGACTTACAATGTTTGCCCTGTTTGTCTAGCAGGGTTCTGTGATGATCGGATGAGACGATCCGAGTGAAAGATTTTGAATAAAGCAAAACTAATGTTTGTTGAGTGGCTACTGGATGCCAGGTGCTTTACAAATGTAATCCTATTTGTGACACAATCTTTATTATTTCCATTTTATAGAGAAGGATATCAGTGTGATGGAGCTAAAATTCAAAACCACCGACGCCAAAGTCTGTCTCCGTAGGGAGACATCCTTTACAGCAGAGACATCCTTTATAGCAGAATGCCCTGCAGGCTGGCCTGAATCGAAAAGCTTGGCTCCTGTCAGGGAGATATTTGAAGACAAGATAGAAGAGTGCTTTGGTGTGTGGCAGGCAGGCAACCATTTCCTCTGCCTGCCCAGGAGAGGTGGTTTATGTGTATTGGGGGCGGGGAGCGGGGGCCTGTGAGTGACAGTATACATATTTCATCCCATACCTTGATCTCGACCAAGAGACATGCAAAAAATAAGTGACGTGGATTTTAGAATAACCAAAACACAATTCCACAGACTCCCAGTGTTTGAGGAATCCTGGCTGCCCTGTGTCCCCACCAGTGAACTTAACCCACCCACATGCCCAGAGTCAAAACTGGGCAAAAATGTCTCCCTAGGAATTTCTCACTGTTCGAGCAGATCAGACTGTGGAAAAGAAGGGAGGAGGAAATGACTGGAAAGAACACTCTAGTTAGAAGTTAAACTGAAAGGAAATTCATGAAATTCTTGATAAAGAGCACCACGACTGTAACAGGATTAACAAATCAGACCCCCGCCCCGCAGGACTATCACCCTGGGAAAGAATCCTTTAAACTAAGATACCAAGCACTTAAAAACAAAACCTAACAAAAACAAAGTGACTTTTTTTGGGGGGGGGGGGGTGGTGAATGAAGAATAATTAAGAGCTAAATCTAAAAGAAACGTTGGTAAGTTCCATTTTCAAAGCTCTTTTGATTTCCAAAAAATGAAACAAAAGGGGGATTTGAAAACAGATTACTGGTCTTTTGAAAGTAGGCTTCTTTTTTTGCTTCAAATTTGCTCAAGTCACCTATTTGTTTTGGTAGCTATTTTGTAGATAAGAGTAACTCATGCACTCATTCAGGAAAGATCATCGCGAACCCGATACTGTACTAGGTGGAAGGACTACGTGTAAAAAGGCAGTCTCTTCTCTCAAGAGCTGCAGCAAGGAAATGGACAGTAAGAGGCAAATACTGAAGAAGGTGCTAGCAGGTACAAAGGATGTATGCAAATGAAGCACCAAAGCCAGCTGGAGGAGTCAAGAGGGAGGGAGGAGGTATACCGGTGATCCTTGCAATCTGTGATTCCAACCTCAAATTAACACCTTTTTTAAAAAAAAAAAGAGTTTCATGATGATTCCTGAAATCATAATTTTAAGTTAGTTCCACGCTTTCTATTTGGACTTTGACTAAAGCTCTGACAGAAACATGAATTAATAATGGCTACTACTGTAATAAATGACTTTCAAGAATTCTGCTTAGATTTTTGTTTGGGGGTAATTAATTTTTTAATAGCTCCATAAGCCATGACTTATAAATCATTGACTATTGCTGTATAACTATCACAAACCAAACATGTAACATTTGCTTTTCACTACAATGTGTTGTAGAAATTAGGTTAATTTTTTTTTTTTTCTTTTCTTACTGATCTTTAGTTACAGGAAGACAGACACAGAAATAGGTCAGCTGCTCTAGAGACCCTGCAGTGAGGTCTTAAATCAGAGGTGGTCACTAACGATTGGGATGTTGTTTTGATTCGTTGTAGGAAGTACTTGTAACTAGTTTAAAAGTTTCTTGCATAAGACTAACCATCTTAATGCAACATTATCCCGGGAATATAAATAGTTCATTTCCTTCTAACTGCATTTTGGTAATCAAATTAATGTTTTGAACTTTCCAAGATCCCCTTACACTTAATGGACTAGATATTTGTACCATCTTGTACAAATACAATTATTTTTCAGGAATTCACCTCAAGGTCTTGGCATTTGCTTAGTTTTCTAAGTGGGCTTTAAACTTGTCAAAAATTAAACTGCAGGCCATATAAGGTTTTCAAAGAAGAAAAACAATTCAAACTTCTCTTTGGGAAAGCTTAACGAATGGCCTGAGATTTGCTGGTTCTCAAGACATTCATCTTTTTTTTTTTTTTTTAAAGATTTTATTTATTTATTCATGAGAGACAGAGAGGGAGAGGCAGAGGGAGAAGCAGGCTCCAAGGAGCAGAGAGCCCGATGTGGGACTCGATCCCAGGACCCTGGGATCATGACCTGAGCCGAAGGCAGACGCTTAACCATCTGAGCCACCCAGGCGCCCCTCAAGACATTCATCTTTTGCTCTGGGCCAAGTCAGTTAACACACTCTTCTGTATAACACAAAGAAGGGGGAAATAATGCAGGCCTACTATTTTAAAAAGTGGTTTTAGGAGTAAATTTTAAAAAACACATAAAAGTACTGTGAGATGCTATGGTACATAATGCAAATTATTTGCAACTATCAGCCAGGAGAAAGTCTGAGCCTAATCCCCCCCACTCCAAATAACCTCACCTCTAAAAGAGGCCTCAACTCTGCAGCCCATTAATTAATTGAGCAAAAATTTAGAGAACACCTGTGTCTACCTGGGGCTCTGACCAGTTGTCATTCTGCAAATTTGACTCACACACCCACCAACTACTGTCAGGGTTCCTCTACTCCACCCCTGTATCACCTAACCCTACCATATGGCCCATATTTCTAACTTGGCTATTCAGTGAGTCCTCACCACATCTAACATCTCAAACACACGTGATGTAAATGGAAAACTGAAACTAGTGGGTTTCAAAGTGGGTTCCATTTTAACCACAAGTTTTCCTCGTGGAGGCAGGAATCCCTGCAGAACTAATCAACTTGTATCATCACCATCCCTACGGGGCCACCATCTTAAATCTGTGATTCTTTCGCAATAAAATATCCACGGAGGGATTTCACACACTTGAAGAGTGAAAATTACCAAGTTTAAAAAAGTATTTTTTAAAAAAGTATTTTCCATAATAATAGGCTAATAGGAAATGTTCCTATGGACTTTAGAAAGAAACGCAGGTGACATCCTTTGAATGAAGTGGGGGTTCATAATACCTGATAGCAGGTAACTTCTCTAAAAACGAAAGATAAACCATGGAACCTTTATTCAAATAGCCCCATTTTAAAAAAAAATAACAACTCTTGTTTTACAAAAGGATCTCCTAAAAGTAAAAAAAAAAAAAAAATCAAAGCAATTCATATAAACAAAAATAGGATTTCAATCGTGTACAGTCTTTGACGAACTTCCACATTCTGATCTCAAACCATTATTTAAACTACATCCGCTAACTCCCTACCTATTACTCCCCGAAGACTCTGCCAGATAACAGAAAGGCAGTGAGCTGGCTTTCCTTTCCAGGAGCCAATGAACTCAGACGTGGACTCTGGCCCCAAACAGCTGTGCGCTCTTGGGCTGACTGCCCACTGTGCTGAGCCGCCGTTTCCCTCTGGTGCCAAACGGGCTAAGATCACCTACCTCGCTGAACAGCAGTGAAGATGAGAGATCACGGCAATGTCTTTCAAGGGCCTAGTACGGAGCGGGCCGTGCTTTAGGCACCTTTAAACCTCGGGCAGGACCACCCCTCCCCGCTGGGACTTCAGAGAAAAACCGAGCCTGCAGACGTCACCTCGCTCCCGTTCCCTCCATGGAACCTTCTAGTGCACAGTCCCCTTCTCCTCCCTCCGGCAGGGGCAGAGCCGTACCTCCTCGCCTGAAAAGGTAACTCCTCAGCTCAGGTGGCTCGCCCTTCCACCTCCTCAGGAACTTTGCTCCAGAATGTCCCCTGGAGAGGGGATAATTATGCATTCTACTTTTTCTTCACTCTCCTTTGGCTGGTTCCTTCCTTTAAGCACTAAACACATTCTAGTTTCTTGCTTTAAAAAAGAAAGGAAACTTCTTTGACTCCACCTCCAGGACAGTCCTATCTTTGGCTTCCCCTTCAAGGCCACTTTCAACAAGAGCTGTTTGCGCTGCCCTGTGGCTGAGTCCTCACCTCCCACTCACGACTCTTACTTTAATGCGGCTTCCAACTCCACCAAACGGGAGAAATCTTGGTCAGGAAATCACCAGTGATTTCCCGGCCGCCCCTGTCAATGGCCACCTCGTGGGCCTTATCACCCCGGCCGCATTCCCAGCTCGTCGGGGCCGGGGCGCCCCGGGTAACTCCCTTCGGAAAACTGCCCGAGCCTGACATCCTTGTCTCCCGGCTCACCTCCCCCACGATCCTGTGTGAGTTGCTCTTTCTGGGCAATTCCCCAACTGTTGGTCTCTCTCAGGACCCACTAATCGGCTCCTTTCTTCCTTTCTTCAACCTTCTTTGCCGGGCTAAATCCATCCACGCTCACGGCATCAGTCAATACGCTGATCATACTTCTCAGTTGGCCCCACACGGTTCTGGCTTACCCCCGTTTTCCCAGCGCAACTATTAGGGGCAACCTCCCCACCACACACACACCAAAAAAAGCCCCACTTTGGGTGGAAACAAATTATTCGGGTCCTCTTATCAATCACCATTTGTATGCAGATGACTCCTGTATTGTGGCGAAGCCCAGTGGCTCGGAGGGGGGCCTGGAGTCAGCCCCCTGGGTTTATATCCGGTTCCGCCGCTGACTCGCCTCTGCGACCCCGGGCAGCTTAAGTAAATTTTTTTTTGCACTTCAGAACACTCATCAACAAAACTAGAATAATACTATGACTTTCTTAAGAAGTGAGGGTTACGTGAACAAAGTCATTGGCGTGAGGTCTGCCACATTTTTAAGTGCTCAATAAATTTAGCCAGCCCAAACTTGTCTCCTGAGCTTCAGGGTATTCAGGTGAGTAGAGTAAAGTTCCCAGGGGATGGGAAGGGGGAGGGGGCAAGGAGTAAACCGTCTGTGCGGGCCTCTTATCACTTTCAAATTCTCTAGACGCCCATTTATCCTACTATCAAACTGTGGCTGAATTCCTAAGATAATTCTCTTGTGACCTTTGGACAATCTTCCTAAAGGTAAAAATCGATCATCTGTGGGGACGGCAGCATATTCTTGCTGTGCGTTTTCTGAGAGTTGCTATGTAATTCATGCGTGCCACATTGGTTGGGGATAACCAGGTGGAAATAACCTCTGCTTCTGAAATGCTTGGATCAAGGCATTTTTTTATGGTTCGTGACCCTGGCTGCTTCCATTATTCCTAAAAACCTCCCTCAAAATCCTTGAATGATGGCCTGGATGGAGAACAGTTCAACTATTTCTTGGCATTAAAAAATAAGATGTAGGGGCGCCTGTGTGGCTCAGTCGTTAAGCGTCTGCCTTCGGCTCAGGTCATGATCCCAGGGTCCTGGGATGGAGTCCTGCAACGGGCTCTCTGCTCAGCGGGAACTGCTTCTCCCTCTCCCACTCCCCCTGCTTGTGTTCCCTCTCTCGCTGTGTCTCTCTCTGTCAAATAAATAAATAAAATCTTAAAAAAAAAAAAGATGTAATTCTTGAGGCTATGCTTTAGGGAGGAGGATGTTGCAATGTATTTTGGGAAGCTGAGCACAGTGACCAATTTTACCTCTGTTTTATTAGATTTTATGATGAACTTTTTTACTTTCCATAAATTACTCTTAAATCTTAAGGAAGTGTGTCTTCACTTTGGAAGACTTCTAAAAGGGTCTGGTTGTTATTTTGTGTTTTCTCACCTACTACGCGATCATCTAGGGTTTTGACTTTCGTGTCTTCATTTCCGTTTAGTATGCTAGCATAACTCCCAACATTTTGTATTTAGAAACTCTGTTTTTTAACCTAGGAGATGACCCTTCCTCCTGTGCAGCTCCCGAACGCCTGCGGATGAATTTTGGAACCCATGTGTCCCAAGAGAGCTTTTTCTCACCTCTTTATGTTTGCTCTGTGGTTCGGGATCAATGTTCCCTAACCCACTGAAATTCTGTTTCTGCCTTAAGATCCAGTTCCAAACGCAGGTCTGTCTGAAGGTCTCCCTTTTTTCCCCCAGACAGAAAAATCTGCTTCTTCTGATGGCTGCCCTGAGTGAGCACTTGGTTCTATTTTGTACGATGATTAACCGCCCATGTGCCGTTCCACCCCAGTATATCCTCGTCCTGGATATAGTTATGCCTGGATGGCAGAAGTGGGTCTCACCCATCCTTCTACCCCTTGCAGCTAGTGTCTTCTGCATAATGGTTAGCCTTCACCGAGCAGTTACTATGTGCCAGGCCTTCTCTCTGTGCACAGCCTGGTGAGGTAGAAACTCTTATATTCGCCACTGTATGGATAAGGACACTGAGGCTTGGAGAGGTTATGTCCATCACCCAAGGCTGTCCAGCTAGCAAATGGCAGAACTGGTCTGTCATTGCCAGTGAATCTTCTGATGGACGAGATCAGCTTAAGATATTGTTTTGTTTCTTTAGGAGGAAATATGGCTCCAGAGCCTGAGCTTTTAACCCCAGCTATAAATACTAGTTGAGATGGAGAGGAAAAAATAGCCTTATCTAGAAAAAAAATATTTGCATATCGTTTTCCTTTTCATTCTCTGTTGAAAAACAAAACAAAGCCATGTTTTGTACACAGCTGTAAGTTTTTCCCCTGAGGAAACGGAGTGGGGATGAAGTTCACTTAGTTGGGCTTGCGTCACTGGTAGTTAACTATTCCTCCTAGTGGGTCAGTGGAAAGGTCAGGTCTGTGCCAAAGCTCTCCTTGTGCCTCAACGTTTTTTGGACTTCTGCTGACTACTCCAGATTCTAAGTGGTGGTTGACTAAAAAGTTCCCACGGTTGAAAAGGAAGGGGGAGGGGGAGCCCATAATGACTAAATGGTTTTCAACTGATGGACAGGTTGGATTCTGAAAATTCTGTCTCCAGGAATGGTCACAAAAGCCAATTGAACGGGTGATGTGAACATGAGGCTGAGTCGGCTGGCTGGGGTTTCGCCACCTCCAGAGCTCACTTCATCTCTGTGTGAGATGCTTACCTCAGCATTTAAATGGGAGAAATGGCTTCCGATGCTCCTCCAAGGAGATTATGCGAAAGAGCTCTTAAAATGGATATTCTTTTATCATTGCTGTTATTCTTATTAACAGTGTAGTATCTGAATGCTAAGTGCAATAGTGTTTCTCTGGGGAAAAATAGGTTTTGAATGTAAAAATGGGATTCTAAGAGTCAGTCTCTGTCTGCCCTCTCCCTGCCCGCACTATGTTGTAGAAGGATCTGGAAGACCTGCGTTCCCACTGCTCTGTGCGTTGGCAGCAGGACTGAGGATTTTGCCAGTCCCAAACCCTATGGCTTGGAACCAGAAGGGGGGCAAGATCTGAGAGGTGAGGAGCTCAGCTGGAGAAAGGAATGTCTGAACTCACCTCAGCATGTTTGAGGGATGGGTTTTACCAGTTAAGAGAGCTTTCCAGTTGAATGAAGGCCTTACATTTATTATTTAGAAACGCTAAGTTCCCTTGTTATTCAGTAATGTTTAGTATCCACGTCACCAGTGTGTTACGTGTTTCAGCTATCTGTTCGTTCCTCTTAAGAACCCTATGACATCGGTATTTTCTTTTTCTCCATTTTATACATTCGAAAAATTAAGTTCGGAAGATTGAGTCATCCGCCCAAGGTCATCTATTTTATAAAAAGCAGAGCTGGGAGTCAGAGCTGATGCCAAGCCTTTGTGGTCAACCACAACATACAAGATTGCACAGACAACAGATGCTTCACATCCTTTCCCCTGTTCACAACTGTCTGTCTCTCTTTACTGTAGGTTTTTAGAGATAGAGTAGTTTACCAATCACAAATCCTTCTCATTACAAAATAACTGTTGTCTCGTTGGGGCTGTGCAGTTAAGTGGGGGTAGGGTGAAGGCGTCAGCATGGTGATTCCACTCTATAGTAAGTGCCCAAGAAAAGAGGATCCTAAGAAAGGCTGCTCAGAAATGTGAAGTTAATGCTTAAAATAAAATGGGAAAACTGGAAAGTACTTACTCATCAAAGTAACTGGTGATTAAAAAGTGTACCTCTCCGTTGACTCTAGATCTCTTCCCTCGACAGATTCTTTTGTCGGCTGTCGATCAGAGGGCCAGGTTGGAGAGCCCAGAGCCCCGGCTGCTAGGCAGATAAGTTCACGTCTGGGTGCTGCTGGGTTCGTGAGCCAGCGGCTGGGGAGAAGATGCCATTTCCGGTGGTATCTGAGGCAAATGACACGAGTCAGCATTTACTTCTTTGCATTAGGAAGCGGAAGACTAATGACCAAAGCTTGAAGGCTCCGGCCCATGTGAAAACACAAAGTGGCAAGTAAATCCAAAAATGTAGCATTTTCCTGGAATCTGGGGCTGAGCTGGTTTTCATTTCACATTTCTCAGTAATTTGCGTGTAGCTTATATTGACTCTTAAACTTTGTTCTGTTTTAACAATTCAGACCCTCAGCTCTTTCTACCTTGTGTGTGTTCCCCGCTGAGAAAGCAGAGTGGGGGAGAGAAAGATTGGCGGGGAGGGCAGAGAAAGGGGAAGTGAGAAAAAAGAAATAAGAAAATGAGAAGATTGCTCCCTTTTCTAATTAATTTTTCATAGTAGTAATCCTGTGCTGCTTTAGTTTACATTAGGCTTTCAGATCCTTTCCCTTGACCTTCCCATGGCCCTGTGGGTAGAGGAGCAGCCCAGTCCATGGCCACAGAGGACTACAGGCCCCAGTAAGCTCAGAAAGTGGCACACCCACGAGACCTGCTGATCCTCCTCTGCTGTTCCACGGGAAACCTGGGAACCCCGCAGGGAACTGGAGGGTATGGGGGGCGGGGTCTTCCGGTGGGTTAGATAAGCGCCCTGCTTTGTTTTCCTGGGTTTGGAAGGACGTGATTTGGAGGCCGAGGAATACCCTCTTCCCTACAAATACCAAGATGAAAGAGAAGGAGGAAAAGAATCAGAAAAAAGGAAAAATGAGGAAATGAAGCTCTAACAATGTTCTTCCCCAAACTGTGGACCTTCTATGGTGTTTTAAATACTTTAGGACCGAGTATTTCCCCATCCCATTTAATGGTCTAAATTAACTCTAAAATGGGTTCCTCATCCCACTTAATGGTCTAAAATAACAAGAGTAATAGGCTCCAAAACAATCCAGAAATACACTCCCTCTGCACTTAGTTTTTGTTTGTTTTTTTAATACTGTGCTGTTTAGGTAAATTGGCCTATAAAGCAACCCAGCTGCCTTTTCTTGAGAAATGTCATTTCACGGTACTTCATTGAATACTCAGTGTGTGGCTCATGAATTCCACCCATTACACATTGTTTTTATTTTCTTATCTCTTATCTCTATTTATAAATAAGTTATTTTGCATTTTTTTCCATGATTTTTCATATACTCGTTGCGTGTCTCAAGGCAAGGCTGCATCTAGAACCCAATGGATAGCTTTGGCATTTTACAATTCAGAGTAGTGTATTACATAGCTGAAAATTGGCCATTATTTGATTCTAGAAATGAGTTTCAACTCTTTCCAGGTTCCAGCTCATCTGTGCATTGTGAGGGTGAAAGGCCTTGTGAGGTCTAGGGAAGCATGACCAGAATTGGCATAATTCTAAGACCAGAGAACAGAGGAGCAGGAATGATGCAGATGATAATCTTGCTTATCCTCTTTGAATTTAAAATAAAATTGTTTGAGACAAAACAGCAGATTTTTCTACTGATTTTCTTACTTCTAAGAACTTATTACGCTATATGGAGACAGTATTGCTGTCTTTTGGCCCCATTTTGTATTCCATTGCTCAGTGAGCTGGCTTGCTTTCTTACCCACCAAACTTCCCCTAAATGATAATGAACACTGATGCGTGTAGAAGGTTTTACACTTAGAATCTTGCAACAGACCCTGCTTATAAAGTCAGGCAAGTTTTAATCATTGTCTTCCCATTGCAGATGGTGGAACTGAGGCCTGGAGCAAGCCGGAATGACTGTCACCTTGATGGAGTGCTCAGGGCACTTAGGACTGCGGTGTGTCCCCTTGCCCTCTCAGTGGGAGGCCAGACAGGGTGCACCGCCATTGTTATTTTGCTTAGTTTCGGAAGGTACTTAATCCATATGGCAGGGAACTTCCAAAGGTACAGGTGGTATGAGTGAAAAGTCCCTCTCCCTTTCTTGTTTCCTAATCCTTCATTTGTCCTGCCAGAAGTGATGCGGTCATGGACTTCTTGTCTATTCTATCAGAAATATTCTATACAGATAACCTATAGCTCTCTGAAATATTTTGTTCTCTCTTCCTTTCTTCTTGAAGAGTCAACTTTCCTTTTTATTTAAGGCAGATGTCTGGAAAGAAGAATACGAACACCACTTAGAACAGATGTTAACCTGCAGAAAGTCTTTGGTAAACGGATCATCCAGATTATTCTGAATATTCAGATGTTTGAAATGGTACAGAAAACTCATGGCTCGCGACAGCCTGTAAAAGGAGTTAGGTGAAGCTCATCCCTATGGTGTGGCATTTAGAACTGACCCGGGCCCTCGTACCCTGTCTGGGGACCACTTAAACCTTGATGTGGATTTGAGATATGGTGACTGCATGTCTATTGATGGTGTGAATTGAAGCCAGAGCTATGATGCTGTGAATAAAGTAGCTTTGGGGCCACACAGACTTGGGTTTGATAATGAACTTTGTCATTTATGGCTGCATGATGTTGGTAGTCACTGAACTCCTTGTGGCTTGATTTTCTCATCTGCAAAATAATGACAATAACAGTGGCTACATAGATGCAAGGGTTAAATGAGAACATAGACCCAGAGCACCAGGTATATAGTAGTGTATAATAAAATATGTCAACATCATTAATCGTGGCCCATCCACTAGCTCTTTCATTCATTCAATAAATAATTGTGGCATTAAAAAAAAAAAAAACAAAAACCTTGCCCCTATGGAGTTGACATTTGGTTGGGGGAATCAGACAACTAAAATAAATAAATAAATAAATAAATAAGTAAAATAATATGTTAGGTAGAAGAGGAACATGATTGTTGGATGAGGAGGATGCAGGGGCTGTGGGTTGGAATTTTAAATGGGGTAGTGACAGGGTTTGAGACCCACTACCCCAGAATATGGCACCTCAGCATGCTGAATATTTTAAGACAAGGGGACTCGAGAAACGGCTCGTGCTGGAATGACTCTGGGGCCTCCCCTGAAGCAGGTCACAAGGCCCTCTTGAGAGAGGTGCTCTCCCCTTACCAGGAAGAAAGTAGCATCCTTATCTCCAAAGACACCAGGACTCAGAGAGGAATCTAAACAAACAGGTTTTGGTAAGTTCCCCCAGTTTATCACCCTTAGCTGGTATCCTCTGTCCTACCAGTCTTCATCAAACCCAGAGTGAAAAACACTCAGGCTTAACCTTGCTTTGTGTCTTCATTGAACTTTTTTTTTTTTTTAAGATTTATTTATTTATTTATTTGAGAGAGAAAGAGAGCAAGCAAGCAGGGGGTGGGGGACAGGGAGAGGGAGAGAGAATCTCAAGCAACTCCCTGCTGAGTGTGGAGCCCTATGTGGGCCTTGATTTCATGACCCTGAGATCATGACCTGAGCTGAAATCAAGAATCGGATGCTTAACTGACTGAACCACCCAAGTGCCCCTCTTCTTGAAGGCTAATTTGTATGCTTTTCTCTTGTCAATCTGTCTTTTGTTACAGAGACCTGGCTGAGAACCTAGAAGGGACCAACAGTGGTCTGGAGAAGGTCTCCCAGAGAAGATGACATTTGAGCAAAGTCCAGAGGGAGGTGATGGAAACACCATATAGAAATCTGGGGGCAGGAAGCTCCAAGCAGAGAGAACAATAAAGAGGTGAGTGTGACTAGCTTGGAGTGAATAAGAGAGGCAGACACAGGAGATGGAGTCAGAGAAGAAAGAGAAGTAGGTCGTGGACCATTGAAAGGACTTGGGCTTTTACTCTAGGAGCCATTGTGAGGGGTTTGGGCAGAAAATTCCCACCATCTTACTAATAGACTCTGTGGAGCAGGAGAAGCAAGGAGACTACTTCAGAGGTTATTGAATAACACAACGGTTGAGGCTTGAACCAGAGTGACATAGCTGAGGAATGAGAAGTGGTCAGCCTCCAGATCCATTTTGAAGGTAGAGGTGATAGAATTTGCCTATGGAGAGAAGATAGGGTATGAGAAAAAGGAAGGAAGGCAAGCCTAGCTCTGTAGTTTTGGGCCTGAACAACAGGAAGGATGAAGTTGCCATTTACTCAGATGGAGAAAATTTAGCAGAAACAAGTTTAGGGGGTGGAAGACAAGAGTTTGATTTGGGGCTTGTTACATTTGAGATTCCTTATACACATCTAAATTGAGATGTTGAATGGGGATTTGGATATACGGGTCTGGAGTTAGGGGGAGAGGGCCAGGCCGGAGATATCAGTTTGGCTTGGATGCTGTCACCAGTGGAGAGGGTGAAGCTAGGGAGGAAAAGAGGTTTGAGAATTAAAACCTACGCTAGTGGAAGAACTCATAGGGGAGACTGAGGAGGAAGAGTCAATGAAGCAGGAAGAAAACAAGGAGAGTGGGAGATCCTGGAAGCCGAGGGGAAAGAGTGTTTCAAGGGAGGACTCAAGAGACATAGTCTGTGTCAGAGATAGTTGATAAGTCAAGTGGGATATTTGACCATTGGCTGTGCAGGACATTGATGACCTTGACTGAGTGGTAGGGACAAAGCCTGCTTAGAGTGGTTAAGAAAGACAAAGAGGAGAATCAGGGACAATACCATCCTGGAGTAGTTTTACTATAAACAAAGGGAAGTAGAGAATGAGAAGTCCGCTGGAAAGCGTGGGAGCCCAGGGCAGGATGCCCCAAAATATGTGGCAATGGCATAATGATTATTTTTAATTAACGTTATTTAAGAAACAGCCAGTATAACAAAAACAGTCTGACCATCCTAGGTCTCTAGAAAGCAGGTAATAAATCTCCCATGTGAAAGGTACCCTCCCGACACTGGGAGGAAGAGACACATCCTTATCATCAGAGACAGGGAATCAGGGCTGAAGAAGCTTACATAAGCAAACCTTGTTACTTTTGCTGATTTACCACCCCAGCCCAAATTCTCTTTATATTCCTTGCTAATTGACAGTCCCAAACATAAGTTTTCTTTGTCCTGTCAATTCCTCATAAACTTACATTCCTTTGTCTAGAAAGTATAAAAGCTGCCTGCCTTGGTCAGTTCTTAGGTCCCGTATCTATGAGACCTCTGTGCATATGAATTAATTTTTTTTTTTGCCCTGTTAATTTGTTTCATGTTAATGTCTTACACCACCCAGAAGAATCTTGACGGGCAGAGGAAAATTTTTCTTCCTCCACAAGGGGGAAGGGAGGTTAAGAGAATTTTATTTTCTTTTAAGAGGGGAACAAAAATAGTATATTTGTATGCTCATAGGAGTAAGTCAGTAAATAGGGAAAACAGGTGATGCAGGAGCAATGCTGGTGATTGGTTGGGATCTAGTGCCCAAGTAGAGGGGTTGGCCTTGGCTAGGAGCATACATGGGAAAAGGCTGGGTACAGGGGCATGAGGCTGCTGTATGGGTAGGTGTGGAGGCACCAGCTTGCAGAGCTCTTCCCAACTGCTATATTCTCAGAGAAATAGGCAGTGAAGTCAAGGTCACCCGCTGAGAGTGAACCTGAGGCAGGTGCTATTAGAGGTTTGAGGATCAAGGAGAAGGTATGAAATCATCATCTGGGAGATGAAGGGGGCTATAATTACTGAGCAGCATGGAGGCCCACTGCAGGCTGGGAGCCCCTGTTTGAACTGAGAGTGTTCACCACGGATTGGTTTTCTCTGGTCTGTTTTAACCCCATGGGATGCCGGTAGCAGAATCAGGACTCAGTCAGGACTGAGGTTTTGCCTTTCGGTGTCCATTAATGTATCTTAATATGCCATTACAAATTTATAATGTATTTTAAACTATGCTTTATTTAAAAGCAAACCCATAAAAGCCAAATATTTTAGACATCAAAAAATATGAGTATCGGGATAAAAATGATGTTCCTTTAATATTAACAACTCTTTTAATAGTTCCAGCCACAGATTAGTTTAAGCTGATCTTTATATGAGCTGATATCACTTAATTCACATTTTCTATTTCCAGGAACGCTGTTATTTTTCTTATCATCTTGGGACGGAGTGCAAGCAGGCCAGAAATCAACCTACGAAATATGTACTTAGAATATACTTATTTCAGCAAACTGCTGTGTGTTTATGTTCAAATCTATGAGTGGCTACCTTAAAAAAGGATCAAATTTGGCAAGTCACAAAACAGTATGTGTATTCTTTTTGTGGCTTGAAACAGTCTGTGTATCCTTGATGGATCATTTCTCTTCAAAGCACTTGCATTTAGCACTTTTAAGCACATATGAATAATTTGTTTCTACTGAGGCACAAAGTCTTCTCTGATAGTATACTGAGAATTTTGAGACTGGATTAAAACTTGTCATGAGTTCAATTTAGTGGCTTTTTAAGAATTAAGTTCTGCACTGAGTCAGTATATGCACACTTCTGTGTTGTTGAGGAGCAAGGCTGGAGTTAGAGTTTGGGAAGTTATAGGTTGAGAAGAGCCAAATTATAAGAGAGGAATTTATAGAAGACCCCATTCTGTCAGGACTTCTTAAAATTTTCTACAGACTTTCTTAGAATTCGTATGTTTTATGCAAGTTCTCTGTTCTGCTCCAATACAGCTTAGTGGTTCAGAGCATGGCCTTTGCAGGCAGAAAAGTTGAGTTCAAGTCTGAAACGTGCGAGCTGTGTGATTTTTGGGAAAGTTACTTAACTTCTCTGGCCCAAATCCCTCAGGGGAGATTGAATATGCAAAGTGCTAAGCAGAGTGGTTGGCATGTGGTAAATGTTCAATTTATTCTAGAAATTAGTATACCTATATCCATGCTTCAGTAACATAAAAATAAGCTTTAGATGACTACCACTGAATAGAATATAAACACTGACAGGTACCCCATTTGATGGCACAGCTCTGTGGACTGGTGTGTCCCTATCCCTGCAGGAACAGACTTGACAAGTGGGGAAGAGGAAAGGCCTTAGGCCAAGTTGAGGCTCTGGGAGTTCTAGCAACTGCCCAAATCCCAGCCAGCCTAGCCACTGAGCTTGGACTAAGGACCAGGCCTCCTGAATCTCAGGCTCATAGTCCCAGAGACACAGTTCATAAATTTTGGGGGGGGGGTGGCAAAAAAAGGTTTACAACCTTTTTCATAAAGAATAATTTAATATCCTAGGAGAATTGGACCTTGAATGGTTTAGCAATGTCCCTTACCTCTAAATAATAGAGGATTTGTGAACTTTTATAGAGAAAAACTATTGAAAAACTATTTAAAAACTATTTAAAATTGTCAGATCGTGGGGAGCCTGGGTGCCTTAGTCGTTAAGCGGCTGCCTTCGGCTCAGGTCATGATCCCAGTGTCCTGGGATCGAGCCCCACATCGGGCTCCCTGCTCTGCGGGAAGCCTGCTTCTCCCTCTCCCACTCCCTCTGCTTGTGTTCCCTCTCCCACTGTGTCTCTGTCAAATAAATAAATAAAATCTTAAAAAAAAATAAAAATTTTACTAAAAATATGAAAATGACTGAAAATAGCACTGCAAAAAGTGGCTTCTGGTCAGACTCTTTACAAATGAGTGTTTTTGCTTTATAATTATAATGATTGACCCAAATTGTATTATTTGTTTTATGTATCAATTGTGTATCACTATTATACCAATAAAATAGCAGACTTTTAAATATTTTTCCAAATTACCATTTACAAAACCAATGTCATTGCTGATGTCTTGTTACCTTCCTCTTCCTCCTTTAGGACATTCTTTTTCTTAATATTTTATTGTTGAATCTCTGAAATATATTCAAACAAATGAAAATGGAGAATAAAGGGGTGCCTGGGTGCCTCAGTTGGTTAAGCGACCAACTCTTGATTTGGGCTCAGGTCATGACCTCAGGGTCCTGGGATCAAACCCCGTGTCCGGCTCTGGCTCAGCACGGAGCCTACTCAAGGATTTTTCTTCTCCCTCTCCCTCTGCCCCTCCACCGCTGATGCTCTCTCCCTCTCTCTCTAAAATAAATAAATAAATCTCAAAAATATGGAGAACTGTAAATTACTCTCACTTCTCTGAATGGGATGTTTACCAATTTCCCTGACCCCTGACTATAAATCTTTGAGTCCTATGTCAATATCCTATTTTCTTAGTCATGATTTCTAGGTGTTGCTTAACTGTGGACTCAGCCACCTTATATATTTGTATGAGAACAAAAGACTGTTTATTTTCTATATATGCATTTATTCTTGGTGATGCATGCTAGTTAAATCATGGGGCAGTTTTAAAATGCATGACAAAAATAGCTAAGAAGAAAGAAATGTCTCTTTGTTCCCGGTTGAATAAACTCTGTGACGATGTAAGGATCCAATTTAAAGTAAATTCTAAACTAATTATTCCCCAAGCTTGTTCGTCCTCTCAGTAAGTGAAGTCAGTATTACCTAATTGCTCCATGATAGAAATTGCAAGATCATCTGGGATTCCTTCCTTGCCTTCCTCCGCCAGGACTAGGGTAGATTCTCCTTTCTAGACCACTCTGTGATCAGTGCTCTTCTCTCCCTATAGCAGCTACTTAGCTCAAATCTGAAATCTGGCTGTGGCTTCCTAATATATCTTCCCACATGTGTTCTTTTCTTCCTCTGCCCCATTCTCCAACCTACAGTCTTTGCTCTTTCTAAGATGCATATCTTATCATTTCATTTCCCTTTCAGAGGCTGAATTCAACCTACTAAATCATGCCAGGATTTTTCTGAAAATACTCAGACGCTTGCCTTTCCTAATCAGGGATTGTAGTCAGATACCTACAGAGCATTCCCTTGGTGAGGTCTGAAGATCCCAAATTGACAAGGCATCTGGGTTCCCTTAGATCACGATAATCAATCACAAATACATACTGAGTATACCATTCTGAACACATACTGTGTATATCATCAACTGAGTGCTCAGAATGTTAATAATTTATATTAACTCATTTTACAGAATCAGCAACAATAATTACTCCAGCCATTTACTGGGCGTCCCCTTTACATTCCAGACATGCATGTCCACTAGTTGTTACTTTTTAAACCAGCCCTGCAGGGTGTCCGCCCAGGCTGGTTAGCTACGAAGTAGGAACTTGGAGTTCCAGCCTGCCTCAGCCTACCCCTGTGCTCTCTGCCCTGCCCCCAGTTGGGCACTTCACACCTCCTGGTCGGCGGCTGCATGCCTACAGGGTTCCACGGAGGGAATGGTGACATACAGAATTAGAATATTGTGGCAAAGGCGAGCAGACCGTTTAATAATGACCTGTAGGGGTACGGAGGCTGGCCCCGAGGGCTCAGCACCAAGTTTACCACCTAACGTGTCACGGCTTTCGTTTCAGGCGTCTGTTTGGTGACAGCAGGTTCAGAAGTCCTTGACATTGGGTGCAGGTGCAGATGCAAGACCCTGGGAAAAATTCTTATACCTCGTTTATGTACAATTTAATTCTGATTGCTTATGCTCCTCAAGAAAAAACAAGAAAATGTGGGGTATTATTCAGAGAGCTGCGTTAGCCCACGGTCTGAAGGAGAAACTGTCGTGCAGAGCTTACCTAACCACAGCCTTAAATTTTAGGAGGAAATAGGCAAAGAAAAAATCTGAGACCTTGCTTGTCACATGCTTAGTTTGTTAAAACTGGAGAGCGAGCTTATTATTTCTTCAAATGGGAAAGTCCCAAAGGGGGAAAAAATGCTAAAACGTGTTGTCTGAGTGAGTTCTCAGTGGATGTCTTAAGAATACACGACATGTGGTTGATGGCCAGGGGCTAGGCCCCAGCTCACGAGGCTGATGCGAATACTTTACGTTGTGGATGTGTCTGATGAGGGGTGCATACTTACCCGCTAATGCAAGGGGGATTTCCCTATTGTCCTGTCCTTTCATCACTTGGTCCAGAGGAGGAAGGAAGGGCGGTCAGGGGGCATGCCACACTGTCACCTGTGCAGAAAAAGGCAGTTGGGAGCTCCCCTTGGCGACTTGCTGCTGTGCTGGGTCATCGTTATCCTATCGGGGGAGAACCGGCACTCCTGTCAGTGGGCTTGGGTGGAGGCTAAAGCGGCAGCCCGCTGGAAGGCATGGCCCCGCGCCCTCCCACCGCCGTGGGGAAGGGGCTCGGGGCTTCCTCCTTGACCGCACTCATTGCATCTAGTTTTGACTCTTCTCTGTGCTACCAGAGGGGCCCAGCTGCCAGCTCCCTGCCTCATCCCGCCCGATCCAGCGTGCTTATTCGAACCCAACCTGGACTACCCTGATCATTTATTTTACATTTGGGGGACAAAGACCTAAACCCATTTAGCCCTCAGTCCATCACCTTTAGGTTAAGGTTCATTAAGGGAGAGTGCAGAAAACGGAAGTGAACTTTTGCCTTGTCTCCAGGAGGCTGAGAGAATTACCAAGGGGAGAGGAAGTAGAACACTACCCACTAGGCCTGATGCCATCTGCCCATCTGCTCTTTCCAGAACATGCCCGTGTGCTTCTGTTTAGGGCAGGCTCTTGCCCTGTAGAGACCCCATAACCCCATGCTCATTCCTTCATGTTGTCCCATCTTTGCTCACATGTCATCTCCTTGAAGAGGTCATTCTGGGTTATGCAGTCTAAACATCCCTAATGATAATAGTCCAGTTTGTTGAGTGCTATTTGTGTTCCTTTTCCTTTCTTCTCCCTCTTTCCTTCCCTTTCCTTCTTTTTCATAAGCAAACAAACAAACAAAACCAAAACAACAACAAAAAAACATTGGCGAAATTAGTTGATGTTTATAGCATAATCTACACACAACCACAATTACAAAGAAAATTAAATGATTAGGGAGATAAGTGAGCTGGGATATCCAGATTCTTTTATATGAAGAATCATGGACTATCTAGCATTTATTGCTAAATTAGGAGGAAATGTTATGGCCCATCTGTGGAAATCAGCTTATTTGTAGATAATGAGGAGGAGCAAGTAGAACCACCCAGAGCCTTCACTATTAGAGGTATGATTGCCTCTCCTGGTCTGTAGGCAGGGGCGAATTAAGGAAATGAAGCAGCAAGCTAGGACTGGGGATAAATCCAGAGCATAGTATCCACTCCAAGAAAACCCAGATATCTGAGAACTAGAGCAAAAGTCACAAACTCCAATGGCTGTAGCTATTAGACATAAGATATAAGAGGGTAAGTGGGCAGGGTCTGTTCTTTGTATGTATACTCATTTTCCATATTAAACATACAGAAATAGTATTTGTTTCCCCCAAGAAGGTATTTTTTTCCTAGAAATTCTTAAACCTCTCATATCTCATTTTGCCACTTCTTGTAAATACATGGGAAGAGAGAAATACCTCTCCACTGTAAAGAAAAACAAAAATGAAAGTAGAGTGATAAATGAAAACTTAATACTCAGCCTCACTGTTGGAGATAATAGGGAATAGTGGGGATTGCGGCAAACTAGAGAACACGTGTCATTTAAGTAGGCATTAGCCATTCTGTTCTAGCAGATTGCCCCATGAGAGAATATGGTTTCAGTTATTGACAGGTATTCCAATTTTTCAAAAAGAAAAACTGTAAAGGTTTTTGTGAGATATATCCTGATTTTTAAACATTGGTCAAAATAAATAAACAAAAGTACTATGTAGGTAAAAATCAAACAAGTTTGCATCATTAGGTTTTTACTTCTGTCTAGATAGTGAGGGAGTCAAATTCAAGTGAATGTCTGGGAATCAGGAACCACACAGAATCAGGTCAAATAGGAGCAGTGGATAGAGGGCAGGTAAGCAAGGAGGATTGCAGAAACTACAGAAGGGCTCGAGACAGAATTCTGATGCCTTTCTTGCCTCAGGAACAGACATTTTCTGTTTTAGCTGTAGCAGAAACCAGTAATGGTTTCCTAGGCAACATCCAGCCTGGCCTTGCCTGGAAACCCACGTGCTTCTGCAATGTAGCGACATTTCTTGATAGGCAAATTTGGACACAATTTCGGAGTCTTACAAACCCAAGAAAGGAAGCTGAGATGGTGCTATTGAGTGAGTAGCAAGTCCCTATCCTGGCAAATTTTAACCCTTCTGTTAAGTACAGAGTTTTTAATGAATTCTCATTTCTTTGTCTTTGCAGTTCATTGAAATCAGGTTCTCAAAGCCTGAATTCCTCATAAGCAGCATCTAGGTATTGTTTTTATTTGTGGTGCTTACAATGAATATAGATAATTGGATATTTGCAACACCAATAGATTGATATTATAGTTGATTCAAATGGCTTTTAATATTTCTTCACAATCGGGCAGAGCTCAATGGCCTGTTTTCAGATAGAAGCTCAGGTTTACTCAAAGATGAACTGAAAAATACTTGTTTTCTTTGTTAAGGAATAATAATAATAATAATAACAATAATAATACTGTTAGGGCAGTATTAATAACCACACTATTGAGACCTTTAAAAAGCCGTCCAAATAGCTTCCAGCAATTCTCTATTTTGTTCTTAAGAACCTGGGGAAATAGAATTTAAATGAGTAACTGTGCCTTTTAATCCACACCTTGTGTATCCTTTACTGTTTAACTGTCCTTATGATTTTTCCACCTACTCTAACAAGCTGAACTGAGATCAGAGTGATTGGTCTGACATACCAGGAGAATGCTAAAGGCACCTTGTGTCCTGATACCAGCAAGGCGTTTGGAAATGCCTGTCATTAGAACTTTATAAATAAGATG